TCGAGTGACTGAAAGCCCTCCAGAACTTAGGGGGCGAATGAAAGAAATTATTATTTATACTAGTCCAGTCGAACAATATAAACAAAAGAGAAATTACAACAGTACCCTTGTGGTACTAAACCTGAATACACAAACAACTGTCAACAGATTTTACTATTGCATGAAGCAATGGTTTCAAAAATTGAAATGGTCAGAAGATATATTTTGGCAAGTTTTAAAATTCTAGAACCCCAATTATCAATCAAGTTATAAAATTCCGATGTTGTCCATAAGCCTGATATATTGTTACATACATTTTTTTCTATAAAATACAGTGCATGTATGCATGTATAATTTATTGAAATCTTGAATTATGGCTTTATTGATCAATAACAAGCCACCTTTTGCATGGTTCCTAGAAAGTAGCCTGCTTAACATGATGGGGGGGGGGTTCTTCCTGGTGGTTTTGTTCAGATTTAAAGCAACAATATTTCCTATTGCCTTTTTCTTTCAGTACTTATAAAAAAAGAATTAAAACTTTTGTGCACTTTTGTATAATTATGTTTACCAAAGGTCCAAAACTATTTAAATATCATCTAAATAGTTTGTTTTGATATGATTCTGTTGTCTTCAAGTCCATTTATATTTTCAAGCTTATCATTATAGGTTTCTCTTTCCTTCTTATTTTCCTTTATGAAATATTTTTAATTAGACATAATTTAATAAAATAAATCGATGTTTTAATGTTTTAAAGTCCTACAAAAGGACTATGGCTTTTTTAGGGGACATTTTGTTGAGGCCTGTAAATTATTTTCATGGGTTTATATTTGTACTAATATCTTCTTTTCTTTGGTTGTTAGCACTTTGCCTGGCCAGGGATCAGATGAGTTGCAGCCTCTGTTGCCCAAGGGAATTTGGCTGCCCTTTGATTTTAATGACTCACATCCGGTATCCATGTTTGCCCACCTACATTTGGTTCCTTGAAGATTTCATTTTGGTGCTGAAGTTAATTGGTTGTTTTTTTATTGTTGCATTGGATTATTTAGGACCTACCCACACTATATTTGCAAGGTGGTTCAATCATTCCTGTGGGTCCTCCACTTCAACATGTTGGTGAAGCAAGTCCTACGGATGACTTAACACTCATTGTGGCTTTAGATGAACATGGTAACATTTTTGTGGTTACATTTCTCAACCCATGGATGAATTTAGTTCTTCAAATATCAGTTAATTTAGAACTCTTTGTTGGCTCCATCTTCTCTTCCTCCTATTCTTGTCTTTTTTATTCATGCTTGGGTGTATTCTCTTGGATTAAGCTGCTGTCAAAATCTTGAGAAGGAAAAAGCTTGAGATGCACCCTTTCTGGTCCACAAACAGAACTCAGTAATCAGAATTCAGGTGCCATTTGGGTCAAGAAAATGTCCTTTACCAGGTCATTGTGACATGTGACTTAAAGACTTTCATCATATCGTAGTTTCCTTTGAAAACAGGTCACTTATGTATATACGCATACATTTATACCTGAGTCCAACCCAAGTGCCTCAAAAGCCTTTGGCCCAACTCTAAGAGTTGTTGGGCCTAGGTTGAGTTGAACCCAGCCCAGCACGCCTGACTTGCACCCCTACATAGGGTCATGTATCTCTGTGTAAATGGGTTCCAATAACAAATTCTGTTCCAAGTGATCATTTTTCGAAGGTGATAGAGATAGGCATCCGTACGCTACCTTTTAACCTTTGGAGAGAAGATATTTTGAGAGTGATTGATGATATATGTGGAAGGTTTATTGAAATTGACAAAGAATCCAAAACAGCCGACTGTATGCAGCTGCAATATGGAAATGTGGTATGGCTTCCTCATTTTAGAAGAAATTTAAATGACTGGGAGGTGGATACATTGATGGAAATGATGCATTTGCTATACAGCACAGAAGTAGAATTTGGGAGGGCCGACTAGAGTTTGGCAATGGGACAAGACAGGAAAGTTCACAGTCAAAACATGATGGGTAAGAAAGAAGGTTATGCTACAGTTCATGGATTTAGTTAAGCTACTAACAGATAAAAGATTGGTATTAAGCTTGGGTACATGAAGGACAGAGGATAAAACAATGGTGTCAGAGGTCTTGATATCCCCCTTGCTAGAGTTACCTCATCCTTGGCCAGAATATTCTGCCTAATAATGTCAAACTTAGGGTTGAGTCCCGTAAGAAACTCAAACACCCTATTTCGTTCCACCAATTTCCTAAAAGTCTCTGCATCTTTTGCACTCTTCCATACAACTGTCTCCATAACATCAATTTCCTACCATAGTGATTTCAGCATAGAGTAGTAAATTGCCACACTCTTCTCTCCCTAAGATTTTTCACATCACTCTTTAGCTTATAGGCTCTTGCCACATTCAACTTTTGTGAATAGGTTTCTGTAACACTACCCCAGATCTCCTTGGCCGAAGACATCCAAAGATAATGCTGACTTATATGGGGCTGCATAGAGTTGACCAACCATCTGATTACTGTATAGTTTCTTGCATCCATTTCTCAAATGTAGGGTTTGTCTCTGTGGGTTTCACCTTACTGCTTGTGAGATACCCTAATTTACCTCTACTATAGACATAAATCCATATAGATTGTGCCCAAGCTAGGTAATTGGTTCCATCCAACTTAATTGTGGTCACTCCAGTCAAAACGGAATCTACCAAGCCAAGCTCAGATACCGACATCTTCTTGGACTCACTTCCGTATTACTCCATTGATCAAACGAAAATAAAAAAACTAGATTTTTAGTCTTTATAAACTTACTTGAAGTCAAAACAGTACCCGAATACTTAACAACTTGGGTTTCATTGCACTCGGCTGTCGGGGAGAAAGAGAGAAGATGCAGCCGCTCCTACCAGAGCTTTCCAACCTCTTTCAAGACTTAACCACACACTTATAGAAGTCAAAATACACCTCCCAAGCACTGAGCGCCACACCAAAAGCTTCTTCTTTACCTGTAACTTCAAAAATCTCTAATCGGCTAAGGTTTTGGGCAGAAAAAATACAGCATCACTTCTTGGCGGTTTTCGGCTAGACTTCAACTCTCCAAACCTTCTACCAACTAGGCAAAAGATCCTCTGAACTATAGGGAATTTATCTCTCCATACTCTCTCCTAATCAAAGGGTGTATGGTAAAAGATAAAAAAAAAGAAAAAAGAGAAGGGATAAGCCTGCTCTGATACCAAGAAGTAAATCAGTCCTATAAAACTAATATAAACTTGATTAAAATTAGAGAGAAAGGTGAAAGAGAGGTAGAAGACATCAGTACAAAGGAAGAAGATGGAGAAAAGAAGAGGAAGAAGAAGAGTTCGATAATCTCCTCTCTCCCCTCTCTAATCCTTTTGTTAATCTTCATTCACTAAGTTAATTACAAGTATGCCCTTAAGTGGGCGGCCAGCTTAGCAAGAACAAAAAATAAACTTATGAAAAAGTAACAGGCCCATTGACAAACAAATAAATAACACACTACAAAAAATAAAAGAATAGATACTAGGGCCCATTCGGCCCAGTCTCTACAATTTTGAGGACCAGCAGGCCATGAAAAGTCAACAAGAGCTGAAGTATTAGTAGTATTGCAGGGAGGATGAAGAAAAGTGTCTTGGTGGTGTAATAATATCATGAAGGGGATAGAAGAGCTAAAAAGAGCAGGGTGGAGAGAGGTAACTCTTTTTTGGGGGATGGGAGCACACATTAATGTATATTTTCTTTGATTTGGGCATCCCAACCTCTGGGATGTCAGACCTTGTACTCTTCTTTGTTTAATTTAATAAAACTGTTCTGTTATCCATCAAAAAAATCCTGTAGTGTTGATAGGTTTCATTCAAAACATAATGAAATAAATTGGCATTTCAATGCCCACATGGATTAATTTTCGTTATGAAGTGCTGCATGATTTTTTTTTCTGGTGTGCATGTGAGTTTATTGTGAGCCATATGAGATGTGGTTATAGAAATATCTGGTCATGTGTGGGCATGCGTCTGTAATTGACAACAGCAGCAGCAGGAGCATAACTTACTTGCCTTGCAGGAAAAGCTGAAGGTGTTCTTTTTGAGGATTCTGGTGATGGATATGAATTCAGTCAAGGTGGATACCTGTTAACATATTATGTTGCTGAACTTCAATCTTCAGTTGTTACAGTAAAAGTCTCCAGAACTGAAGGATCATGGAATAGGCCGAAGCGTCAGTTGCATGTACAGTTATTGCTTGGTGGAGGTGCCATGGTATGTCTACTTGCAACAAGGGCAGACGTTTCTGAACTGAAATGTTTAACCTATGTAACTGCTTATACTCATTGGACATGCCTCTTCTTTTGTTTTCTGTTTTATGAATTAGAGTTTCTTTTTTTTTAACAGCTTGATGCATGGGGTGCTGATGGATATGAACTGGAAATTGTAATGCCCTCCAAACCTGATGTATTGAATCTCATATGTAAAACTGAGAAAGAGTACAAGAGTCGCATAGGTATTATTCATTAGTTCCTGTCTCACTTTTGTTGGTTGCAACATCTTTTTTCTTCAAAATTTCCCTTTTAATTCAACTACGGATGTGAAGCAATTATTATGTGCATTTATCAAACTGGACAACTCTGATGTTATCCTTGTTAATAGGTAAGTATATCTATGTGTTGTGCTAGTAGAAATGGAAATAGGGCCAAAGCTCCAAAAGAAACAAGTGCTTTACAAATTTAATGAGAACAAACTTGCTATGTGAAGCCCAGAACAGAAAAAGAGTAAAAGGTCATCTGGCTTGGCTTGGTAAAGACTTGGAGTTCTCTTTCTGCTTATAAAGACAAGTTGATCTCCATTGTGTGACCATTTATGATTGTCGTTAGATTGGGACTTGGGACTTGGGAGAGGATAAAGGGAAGTTGAAGTTCCCGTGTTTTTCTCTTTTTGATTCTTTGGAGGGCATGTTGTTTGACTCCTCTAATTTTGGTGTCAGGATTTGGTAACCCATTTATGATTGTCATCTGGATTGGCTTGTTTCTTGCACCTTTGACATGAAAATCAAGGGCTCTTTGTCTTTACCCTTGAATACTTTTTGGCCTTCATAGCTTCTAACAAGGGCTCTTTGTTAGGAGGTCAACACTCATGGGAATCTTCAAAAGATGTCTTCATGGTATCTTTTACTTAACATGTATTTTCATTGTAGAGCAAGTTGTGAAGCTACTCTCCACTTATTAATGCTGCTGCACTTGTATCTTGTGTTTGGGAGCTTTTCTTTTTCTCTTTATCAGTGTAGGTAGAATTCTCCAGGAGACGGTGTAAACCTTGTTAGTGCCTCCATTCTCTTACTATTGAAGAAGTTGTAAAATTACGTGGGGATGTACTAAGAAAGCAACATTGTTGAGTTTTTGAGAAGACAAAAATGCTTAAATATTTAAAAAAAAGTCTAAACCCAAGGAGGCTATCATTGAGAGCATTTATATTAAGGTGGCCCACAATGGTAAAATCAATGGATGTGTTTTCTAATTTTTCCACTAATGACATAATCGAGAATTGGGGTATGTGGCATGCTTTTTTTAACAAGGAATTCTTTTTTGTATAACTTGGTCTCCTCCCATCCCATAAAATTAAACTTTGACAGGTATAGTTTGGTTAGCCTAGGAATTTCAGGAATAAAGGGAGTCTTCAGAGACCATGATGGCAGCATTCTTGCCTTGTTTTAATCACATGGAAGATGTGCTGGTAGTATTCTCAGTCCTGAGAGGTGCCAGAAATTCAATCAGAGAAGGGATTTAAGCTGTCCTTTAAGATTTATGATTAGGAAGGTCTTTAGGATATATGAGAATCTGATACTAGATAGGGGCTCATAGAGCATCATTAGTTGGCTAAACAATGGAGCTGTAGGTCCCTAGCTTCCAAGACACAACATACGAAGCGGGATATGTGTCTCTCACTATTGAAACAAGTTTCTTCTGGATCCCATGATCATCAAAAACACTCTTGCTGAGTCACTATATTTGGGCACAGATTTGCTCGGTTAAAGGTTTTATTGCTGTATTTTGTGGCTGGCAGAAATTGCAGGGAGAGTAGCACTAAGCTAGATCTGTATTCATTCTTGAGGATGGTTAAAACCTTAAGTGCTTAAATCTTTATTCTAATAATAATAAATATATGATCAAATGCCAATAAAAATTATTAGAATGAAAGACCACACCAAATGCCGTTTTACCTTCCCAATCAATATTTCAAAGTGGCTGCTTCTCCTATTGAAGATGCAACTCTTTTGCTTCTTCAAATGGCACCAGCTTAAGGAGAACGGACCAAGTTAATCATCACTAACATTCATTGCATGAATTACAACTCCCCCCTTGGGGGACTAGTTCCCAATACAGTTGATTTCTAATTGCCTCTTGCTTCACTAGAGAATCTGCCAAAGCATTTGCAGACCTTGGAACCCGAACTACTGTGACATTGAGAACACTCAAAGTATCTTTATCCTCCCTTATTACATGCCTATATTTCCATGGGCCTTAATGATTTCTTGTTACCCAACCTGTTAGAACTTTCGAATCACCTTTAATTATGATATGTGTGAAGTTCATAGACTTGGATCTTCTTGCACCTTCCATCACTGCCCATGGTTTTGCTCTAGTTGAATCTCCAACCTCTGCAGGTCCAGAAAATAATGCTAAAATATGTCCCTCTGTGTTTCTAAAAACACCCACAGTTCCAGTCTTCCAGATTGACCTAGTTTACCCTAGCTGCACCCATCAAAATTCATCTTAATGAATTCAGCAGGACTCTCCTACTCTTTGTCACTTAGGTTCTCCTTGATGAATATTCTGCCATTGGGGATGGGGGATGGGCTACCACCCCCTTTGTCTAACCCCATTAAGATGAAGATTCTGCCACTAAGTTCCTGTTTTCTGGGTAGAAAAAGAACAGAAGGGAAGAAGCAGAGACAGGAAGAGAGAGAGAAAAGAAGAGAAAGGAAGAAGAGAGAAATAGAGAATAGAGAGGCAAAAGTTGTGCTTGCGGCGCCAGCTTTTTCTTATATAATAGGGCAACACAAAAAAGAGTAAAAAGACCACAGTACCCCTGTGGCCCATAATACATAAAAGAACCAACTGTTTTAACACTCCCCCTCAAGTTGGGACATAGATGTCAATCATGCCCAACTTGTGCCACAGATGATGAAGGCCCTTTGCGAAGATATCTGCAAGTTGTTCTTCAAAGCTAACATAGGGAGTACACACTTCTCCACTTATGATCTTATCCCTGATGAAATGCTTGTCAACCTCAATATGTTTATTTCTACCATGGAGAACAGGGTTGGCTGCAATGTTGATAGCAGCCTTATTGTCACAATAAAGTGACATGGGATTATCAACAGTAAATCCCAGTTCACCTAACAAGCTTTTTATCCACATAACCTCAGCAACTCCATGGGACATAGCTCTATATTCCGCTTCCGCATTGGATCTAGCTACCACATTTTGTTTTTTGCTTCTCCATGTGGCTAAGTTTTCTCCTACATACGTGCAATATCCACTTGTAGACTTCCTGTCATCTACTGCCCCTGCCCAATCAGCATTTGTGTAAACTTCAACTTTTAAATGCTCATGTTTCTAGAACAACAAACCAGCACCTGGGAACTTTTTTAGGTATCTAAGAATCCTTTCAGCAGCCTCAAGATGTGTTGTCTTGGGATTATGCATAAATTGACTAAGAACACTCACAGCATAAGCGATGTCAGGTTCGGTCATGGACAAATATAAGAGCCTGCCAACAAGTCTTTGGAATTTCTTTACATCTTTTATAGGTTCTCCCTGATTGTCGTCCAACCTGTGATTTTGATCAATAGGTGAATCAACCGGCTTCACCCCTAACTTCCCAGTGTCCTCCAATAGATCAAGAACATATTTCCTTTGAGAGATGAATATCCCCCTTTTGGAGCGAGCAACTTCAATTCCAAGGAAATAGCGCAAGGGACCTAGATCTTTCACCTCAAATTGCGTGGCCAAGAATTCTTTCAATTTCTGTATTTTTGCTGTCCAGTCATCGGTGACTACTATGTCATCAACATACACAATTAGGGCTTCAATTTTTCCTTCACCTTTCTTCACAAATAATGTGTGGTCTGATTGGCACTATTTAAACCCCATTTGTTGAATAGCTAAATGAAACTTGCTAAACCAGGCCCGCGGTGACTGCTTTAGCCCATACAAAGATTTTTTCAACCTGCATACCTTCTGCTCACTACCTTTTGCACAAAATCCTGGGGGCTGAATCATGTACACTTCTTCTAAATCACCATTCAAGAAAGCATTTTTAATGTCTAGTTGATGAAGATCCCAATCAAAATTAGCCGTCAAAGATAGGAGGACTCTAATGGAATTCATCTTGGCAACAGGCGCAAAAGTCTTTGCATAGTCCACACCGTACACTTGAGTAAACCCTTTGCTACCAATCTCGCCTTGTAGCTTCCACTGTACCATCAGCCTTATGTTTAACTGTGACACCCACTTACACCCCACTGGTTCTTTTCCTCTAGGAAGATCAACCAACTCCCAAGTGTCATTTTTATGTAAGGCATCAATTTATTCCTTCATCGCATCTGTCCATTCAGGTATAGATAAGGCTTTTGCCACATTCTTAGGGATAGAAACACTGTTAATGGAGGTAAGAAAAGCATGAAAGGAGGGTGAAACATGATCATAAGAAACAAAATGGGAGATAGGATGCTTAGTAGTACAAGATCTAACACCCTTTCTCTTTGCAATAGGAACATCCAAATTATTAATAGTAGAATCATCAACATCAATAGGATCAAATATATCAATAAGAACAAGAATACCTGGGTGAGGAAGATCTGCCTCTAGAGAGTCTGATGGTATTGGTGGCATAGGTTCAGGTTATTCTGCAATTGTTGAACTTTGTTGACCCTTATTACGACGGAAGAAGACACCAAATGGAGGAGGATTAGGAAGAGGATGGAGCTGAACTTGTGCTTGAGCATGTTTCTCCTCCACCCTACTCTTCCCCCGAGGAAAAACAGGAAAAAAGGAACATTCTCAAAAAAGGATACATCCATGGAAACATGATACTTATGAGAAACCGGATCAAAGCACCGATAGCCCTTTTAAGAGGAAGGATAACCCAAGAAGACACATGGGATAGCACGGGGGTCAAGTTTACCACAAGTAGGAGATAAGTTATGGACAAAGCATCGACAACCAAAAACACGCATAGTAATGGAGAACCAATAGGCCTTGGWAAATAACAACTGATGTGGAGCCTTGTGTTGTAAAATAAAGAGGAAGAGAAGAAGAAATAAAGAGGGAGAGAAGAAGAAAAACTTCTGTATTGATAATGTGTTGATAAAACATGTTGAGCATACAACTTAAATAAGAAAAGATAGGAGAGACAAACTCCTAGAATCTCTCTCAATTAGGGATTGATTAAATCTTTTCCTTAATCCTAGGATATGACTTT